AGCAAATAGTTCTTATGAAGAAGCACATCCTTCTTCACTTGATGGCAGGAAACAGAATAAGAGCCCAGTGAAGGAGGAAGCCCCTTATAAAACCATCAGATTTTGCAAGAACTAACTCACTATCACAAAACAGCTTGGGAGAAACTGCCCCTGTGATTCAATTATCTCCACCAGGCCCCTCCCACAACACGTGGGAATTATGGGAACTACAATTCAAGATGAAATTTGGGTGGGGACATAGCCACACCATATCAATCATTCTACAAAAGTACCAGATAAGCTATTTGCTATTAAACAGATCTGTAACTTTTCTTAAAAATCTGTCCCACACAGAAGGTGCAAGATTGTGGCAATTTTCATCACAGGTATTCTAACTATGATTAACCATCTGAAAAAAAAAAAAGGTAACCCACCGATTCATTGGTCTTATTTTGGACCTAGAACATATAGGCTGCTACTAAAAAGATCCAGAGGGCCAGCTAGATTATTTCTCATTTTTTTTGACTGGGAAAATTCTGAGAGAAGATGCCATAATTTGTGGGAGCAGAGATTGAAAAGTTATGATGTTACAAAAAGATCGTTGGTAAAGAATCATGACTAAACTAATATAAGGTAAGTTCATGAAGGCACAGAAACTTGAGAGTGCAGTGGAAACCACTCAGTGCTTTAGGCAAACGTGTCTGGCTGTCTGTTCACTAGCCATTACTCCTTTTTTACTAACAAACCTCTGGTTTTGTTTGTGTAGTAAGTGACTAGTAATAAAGGTTAAATTGTGACTGGTCTAAGCCTAGTGTTCTGTTAGAACTTGCTTATACCAGCTCACAAGAGCTGATTCTATGCATTTGGTACCAACTCAGAGTTCAGTGCAATCACATTGGTAGCTTAAAACCTGCAAAGGTAGTCATACTTATGCCACAGAAATAAACAAGTGTTACAAATTAGGACTAACACTCTCTCTGGCTTCTAGTCAGTTTTAAATCACTTATCCAGCACTCTCTAAACTTATCTTGGAAATCTAATTTTCTTTTGCCAGGGATTGGCTCAATATTGGGAAAGGGACCAACTTTTTGACCTACGACAAGTAAGTGAAACTGATGAAAACCATCTGGGAAAGACTTTCTTCTCGAAAGTTAAAGCTGCAAGCCAGCTTCTTTTTGTGTTTTAAATGGTATTGTGTAATGCTTGGAGATGCAGTGCTTTAAGATGCAACCATGAGGAAACATCAACAGAATCCAGAGATGCTTATACATTAATAACTTTGAACTATCATAGGCACATGAACCAGAGCAACTCCATCTTGAACGTGAGCTGGGTAAAATGAGGTTGAAACCTACTGGGCTGCATTCCCAGACAGTAAAGGCATTCTAAGTCACAGAATGAGCTAAGAGGTCGGCACCAGATACTGGTCATAAAGACCTTGCTGATAAAACAAACAGGTTGCAGTAAAGAAGCCAGCTAAATCCTACCGAAACCAAGATGGCCACAAGAGTGACCTCTGATCAACCTCACTACTGCACTGCCATCAGTGCTATGACAATCTGCAAATGCCACGGCAAAATCAGGAAGTTACCCTATATGGTCTAAAAAGGGGAGGCATGAATAAACCACCCTTTGTTTATCACATATCATCAAAAAATAACCCTAATATTGGGCAACCAGTAGCCCTCGGGGCTGCTCTGTCTATGGAGTAGCCATTCTTTCATTCCTTTACTTTCTTAATAAACTTACTTTACTTTGTATTCTTTCTTGCAGACTCACCTTGAATTCTTTCCTGCACAAGATCCAAGAACCCTCTCTTGAGGTCTAGAATGGGACCCCTTTCCTGTAACAGAACCACTACCAACCAGGACATCCAAAATATAGAAAACTATGAGCCATCCATCCTGGATATAGGAAATAATGTACATTTTCTGTACAGAATTTAACAATAATAATTAAATATATTAACTATAAGTTCAGTTTTTATTATCCTTTTGTATGGACAATTCTAAATAATGTTAGTGACTAAAATATCCCTCCCTGGCCAGACACGATGGCTCATGCCTGTAACCTCAGCACTTCGGCTGAGGAGGAGGCTGAGGCGGGTAGATCACCTAAGGTCAGGAGTTCAAGACCAGCCTGACCAACATGGAGAAACCCGGCCTCTACTAAAAATACAAAATTAGCTGGGCATGGTGGCGCATGCCTGTAATCCCAGCTACTCAGAAGGCTGAGGCAGGAGAATCATTTGAACCCGAAAGGCAGAGGTTGTAGTGAGCCAAGATCCTGCCATTGCACTCCAGCCTGGGCAACAAGAGTAAAACTGTGTCTTGGAAAAAAAAAGAAAAAATCCCTCCCCACATAGCTGAACTACTCCTTCCCAAGTCCTCTATATGCTAGGGCCAGCAGCCTAGAGCCAACTATATCAAATATCCAGGTATATGAGATAATTAAGGGTTTTTGTTATTTAAGTAATTTTTATATGAGTTTTCTGTTACTTGTGTATGTTCTGAACTGCTTAAGTTGTCCATGAAAAGAAGCAGATCCAGAATATTGCTATATTAGGTAAATCTAGCACTAAAGAGAAATACTATGAATTCCTGCTTTAAGGACCTACAATATGCCTGGTTCCCAGGCCTCCCCCAGCTGTAATAATGCAAGGATTGATAAATTATGGTTGCCCTTCTCGCATGTCCAAAGGATTCTCCCTATGTGCTGTTAGTATTACTATGTTAAACTGTCTTTACATTGATTAACAAGAGTAGGTTCCTTTGCCTATTAACCAAAAGAACCAACTGAGAAACAGAACCTACTATTTAACAATCAAATTACAAAAGAATCTTCTAATATAAGGTGTTGATTGAATTTACTTTGCAAAGTCTATACTAAGGAGATAGCAAGTAGACAAAAATATGCTTAACATAACATTGTTCATAATAATTAAAATTACTATTTACCTAAATGTTAACAAAAGAGCAAATAAATAACTTCCTGACTGTATAATCATGCAGAAATACACAGCCAAATATTATGTGTAAAAAGGCAAGTAACATAAAAACATATATATATGCAGGATATACATTTGAAAATATAAATATATATTAGAAAAGTGGTGAATGAAAAAAATCAATTAGCAGTGGTTATTATTCCGGAGTGGTGGAATTAAAGGCCATTGATTTTTTTCCCCATATATTTTCTATATTTTCAAAGATTTTAATTCTATAAAATAATTTTTAAAATATGTAATTAGCATACTTTTCACTCTCATTAATGTATCATGAAAATATACTTGGTTTCTGGAACAATTTTTCATTATGAGAATGTATGCATACACGAAAATAATGAAGTCAATAGGTTAGACTGAAAGACTGAACTAAATCAGGAAATTTTAAAAAATGAAGTTGGATATTCATGAGAATTTGCATTTTATAAAAAAGAATAAAATCACATTCCAAGAAAATCCTTCTCTCACAAAAAAGGAAAAAAATATATGTAATTTATTTTAGAGAGAGGCTTACTTTTTGAGAGTATAAAAAAGACTAAAATGCATTTAGTTTTTTGTTTTTACAACAACGTAAACAAAACTTGAATCATGCTTCTGAGGATACTGATTCATAAGAGCATCTTCACAATCCTATGGGATATTATTCTAATTTGTGATGATAGAATAACCTGGGCTTCACATGGAATCTCAAGCTTCCCTGTTTTCGTTAGATGTTTAGATTTGTTTATTTGATTCTTTAGATTAACACTGTCAAATACATATGATGTTTGTTGAATTACCATATTGCATTTGTCAAAGGAAAATAAATCTTGGGACCCTAAAATTACCAAGCCAGAGGGAAAAGTCAAGCTGGGAAATACTTATTTCCATTGAATTGTCCAATGAAGTGTCCCCCATTCTATTCAAAGCCATCCCTCTGCTCACTGAGATAAACACGTACCTGATTGCCTCCTTTGGAAAGGCTAATTAGAAACTCAAAAGATTGCAACCACTTGTCTCTTGTCTATCTACGGCCTGGAAGCCCTCTTCCTATATCTAGTTGTCCCACTTTTGCTTCAACTTGTTCCACCTTTCTGGACTGAACCAATGTTCATCTTACTTATGTTGATTGATGTCTCATGTCTTCCTAAAATGTATAAAATTAGATGTGCTCTAACCGCCTTGGGCACATGGCATCAGGACCTTCTGAGGCTGTATCATGGGTGCATATCCCTAACTTTGGCAAAATAAACTTCCCAAATTGACTCAGATCTGGCTCAGATTTTGTGGTTCACACATTTCAAATCAATGACGTTTTCCCATTAATATATTTTTTTCCCTGAGGGGAGAAAAATTTGGTTGGAAAAGAAGAGCAGGGAAATCAAGATACATAAATGTATTAGAGAGAGAACATGTGGATTTATTTGAAAACCTAGGAAAAACCTAAGACTTCTAGGTACTATGTTCTATTATATTTTGCCCATGAATGGGAGTTTCTTTTATAGACACAGTGTAAATTGTTAAATTTAAAAAGATTACAAGACATGAGGCTTATAATCCCAGAGTAGACCATGGATGACACAACTGCTGCTAATACACAGCAACACATTGCATCCAGAAATACAATCAATGAAATGTTTTCTATATTAAAGAAATCAATTTTATTCAGTATTACTTTTTTTTTTTTTTTTTTTGATACGGAGTCCAGCTCTGTTGCCCAGGCTGGAGTGTGGTGGCGAGATCTCGGCTCACTATAACCTCTGTCTCCTGGGTTCAAGCAATTCTCCTGCCTCAGCTTCCTGAGCAGCTGGTATGGCAGATGTGCACCACCACGCCCGGCTAATTTTTATTTTAGTAGAGATGGGGTTTCAGCATGTTAGCTAGGCTGGTCTCGAACTCCTGACCTCAAGTAATCCACCTGCCTCAGCTTCCCAAAGTGCTGGGATTACAGGCGTGAACCACCATGCCCAGCTTAGTATTATTCTATTTCATAAAGTTGACAAAAGCAAATAAACAAAATAAAACAATAAAAACATACCAGACACAGCAAGGAAGTCATCGATGCTTGTAATGTCATCTACAGCTTCAGTGAGGACATGTATATGATTCTCCCATGTACGTTTGTACATTTCCATGGTGTTTTTGACCACTTGACTTTTAGGTCTTGCAGCCAAAGCAAGTGCAGCATTAATAATCTGTAAAGATAAGGATTTAAAAAATGACCTATTGGGTACAGTGTTCACTATTTGGGTGACAGGTACACTAAAAGCAATATATGCATGTAAAAAATATCAATCTATAATTCCTAAATATATAAATACAAAAAATTAAAATGATGAAATTAAATTATATTCATTCATAAAAATGAAATTTAAAAAACCTGTAAAGATGTAGAATGTTTATCTAGTGATTTCTTTTTTTTTTTTTTTTTGAGATGGAGTCTCACTCTGACACCAGGCTGGAGTGCAGTGGATCACTGCAACCTTCGCCTCCCAATTCAAGTGATTCTTCCACCTCAGCCTCCCAAGTAGCTGGGATTACAGGTGCACGCCACCATGCCCTGCTAATTTTTGTATTTTTTTTTAAGTAGAGACAGGGTTTCATCATATTGGTCAGGATGGTCTCGATTTCTTGACCTCGTGATCTGCCCTCCTTGGCCTCCCAAAGTGCAGGGATTACAGGCACAAGTCACTGTGCCCGGCCAGTGATTTCTTTAAATACATTATATGTATTAAAATTAGATTATTTAAAATAAATTAAATATGATTAAATACATTCATCCTCAACAATAGGAAAACAGTAAAATGTCTCTACATATATACAGTTTATTTTGAAAAGTATAAAATGTTTTATAATTTTAATATAATTTTTATTTTTAAAATTTTCCTACTGCCTCTATTACTGCAGAATGAGAGTTTTTAAATATAAACTTTCTCACTATAAGCTCCATGAAGTTCAAAACACTTTTCTAAGTGATGACATTAGGCATTTAATCTATCTTTAAAGAACTAATGATTCTGGGAATTTAAACATGTCAATGTAGTCTTTTTAATATTATTAACTGGTGAGAAATGGGTCCTTTTAACAGATTGTTCAGATTAATAAACAAAAAGAAATCAGAAAGAACCAAATTAGGACTGTAATTCGAATGTCCAGTGATTTCCCATGGATATTCCTGAAATATTGCCCTTGTTTCAGAAGAGAAATGAGCAGGAACACTGTCATGGTGGAGAAAGACATTCTGGTGAAACTTTCTTTGGCATATTTCTATCAAATGTTTGGCTAATTTTCTCAAAATACTCGTGTAGTATGCAGATATTATCATTCCTTGGCCCTCTAGGAAGTGATTAAGCAAAATGCCTTTAGCATACCATAAAACTGTTGCATAACCCTTGTTCTTGACTGGTCTGTTTTTCTTTGACTGGATCACTTCTGTCTCTCAGTAGCCACTGCTTTGATTATGGGGTCTTCAGGATTGTATTTGTAAAGCCATGTTTCATCTCTCGTTACAATTCTTCAAAAAAGTACTTCAGGATCTTGAGATCACTTATTTACAATTTCCACTGAAAGCTCTGCTGTTTTCTGCAGCTGATCTGGTCACAATGGTTTGGAAATTCATAGAGTGGAATGTTTGATCAACTTCAATGTTTTAGTCAGAATTGTGTAAACTGAACCAATTAAGATATCTATGCTGTTGGGTGTTACTTGTGCTGTTTATTCATTGGTTATATTCAATTAGGGCATGAATAATATAAAATTTTTTGATCACAAATTGTTGTGGATGCAATGCTTCTGTGAGCTTCATCTTCAACATCATCTCTTGTTAAAATGAATTCAGTTTGTAAACTGATGATTTATTTGGTGCATTGTCTCCATGAATATTATGTAAAGCATCAATGATTTTATCATTCTTCCACTCAAGCTTCACCATAAATATGTTTGTTCTTCAATTTTAGAAGAGTTTATGTTGTCTTTGATAGTTGGTTGATATAGTTTGGCTATGTCTTCACCCAAATCGCATCTTGAATTGCAATTTCCATAATTCCCATGTGTCATGGGAGGGACCCGGTGGGAGGTACTTGAATCATGAAGGCAGTTACCTCCATGCTGTTCTCATGAAAGTCAGTTGAGTTCTCACGAGATCTGACAGTTTCATAAGGGGGTTTTCCCTTTTGCTCAGCACTTCTCCTTCCTGCCGCTTTAGAAAGCAGCACATGTTTGCGTACCCTCTGCCATGATTGTAAGTTTCCTGCAGCATCCCTAGTTCTGTGAGGCTATGAGTCAATTAAACCTCTTTCCTTTATAATTTACCCAGTCTCATTTCTGTCTTTATTAGGAGCATTAGAATGGACTAATATAGAACTCTTTTCAAACTGATGTCTCTTATTTTTAATCCCTCAAACTAGATCCCTCAAACTACAACCTGTATTATTTTAAGTTAGTAAAGGTTTATATTGGTGCAAAAATGTTGAATTTTATGCATAATGAAGACCTTTCATACAATGACAACAATAAAAAGAAGCTTTTTCTACTGAATATCCTAAAGACTATAACTTAAGTTACTTCCTATCAGCAAATTACTGGAGGTGGAGGCAGGGAAAAATTAGTTGCTTGAGAATAATATATTTTAATCCCCTGATTTTTTATAAAAGAGGAACATATTAAATTTTAAGGAAACACACTAACTTTAGAAATTAATGTGCAGTATGCCTTGACTTCAGTTTTAGAGTTTTATTAACCTATTAATTTACAATGTACCTTTGTGTATATTGCAATGGCTCTGGTCTCTGGTGTTTCATTGTTCTTGTAAATGGACAACTATGTACATATGTGGTTGTGCGGAAATTATGCCTTCACTGCAAAGTATACTTTTAAAGTACTGGTGTAAAACCCTCAGTGGAGATAGGAAGTTATGAACATAAGACAGGCTATATTTTATAAGAATAGTTTCAGTTCTGCTGCTGATAATCTGATTCAACACTGCAGACTATGAGGAGGCTTTATCCTGCTTGACTTTTCTGACACTTAGCTTAAATCTAAAAGTAGACAGAATTCAGAAGAGTTCTTCTAACCCTCTTAAGGCAGAAGAAATGTTCATCCCAATGTCACATTCCTAGAGCTTTTGACATATATCTAGAGAAAATAAAATGACCATCTTAAATCTTCTTCATGCAAAACTAAGATTTTTTAAAAATAAATTATGTTACTTTCTGAGGAATTTTGTTTCTTCAGATTACGGTTGAGATGTTTACATATCAGTCACCTGACCCTGATAATTACGTAGTCTGTCAGTTCACCTTTTGAAACAGTCACTTTTAAGTTTAGGCCTTATTATGTCTTAACGGGGCCATTCTAGTAGCCTTACAGGTTTCTACTTCAGTCTTTATTTGCTCTGAGACATTCTTCTTAATACAAACACATTTCTTTCTCAAATACAGAAGTGATCATATCCCCAACTTGTGGATAACCTTTGATAAATTCCTAGTTGACTGAAAACAGAAACAAGAACCAAATTTCTTTTTAGTAATTCACAGTCTAAAACCATCCACAGGTTGGATCTTACCTAGAGTTCACTCTGCTCTAATAATCTCACTGGTTTTAGCCTTCATTCCAGCCACAGTTTTCAGCTCCGTTTCCTTATCACATCACTCATCTTTGTACCTCTGTGACCATTTCTATAGCTGAATCTGCCTTAATGCCTTTGCTTCATCCCCTTTTCACTCCACTCCATCTCAGGAAACATTTTTTATATTTAACAAATACATGGAAATATCACCACATACTGCAAAGCCTGTCCTGGTTCCTATACCCAGCAAATGGAATTGTTTTCTCCTTTGTGTTTAAAAAATATTTTGTCCATATAAATAAAGAGTAGTTATTCTATTGTATGACTGCTCATACATATGTCTGTTCCTGGGTAATTAGCTCCATTACAGGAAAGGCTATGTATTATTCATCTTTGCTTCTTCATATACTAACCATGTTGATTATCATAGCTGCTATACTTCTAAACTGTCCCTAAAAGAAACCATTGTGCTCACAGCCCACATTGAGAGAAGCCACAGTGAGACAGGTTTGGTATTATTTTCTCCCTCTTCCACACTATTCAGGTCACAGGCAGGCAATTAATTCAAGATGAGCTCATCTGTTGGCGGGCTGGTGATTGGTCATGAGGTTTGATACAAAAGGTTTTGGTGTTTTAATCAATCTTGAAAATTTGAACTAGAATTTATGGAGAAATCGTTAGTTAGCAGTCAAGACCAAAGTTGAAAGTTTCTGTAGAGAGTAGCCATCTTATAAAATCAGAACCAGAGGGGGCCAGTGGAGCTGAAGCTACAAGGAAACTGGAGCCAAAGTGAAATGAAGAAGAAACTGTGAGTAGACTGAAGCTGATGTTTAAAAAGAAAAGAAAAATAGAAAGACAGAAATAAATAAAGTCTGGAGTAAAATAAGCCAGTGGTTGGCAAGGAGAATAGGGAAAGTCTATCAAGAGAGTCTAAAGCATCAACAGAGAGAAAATGATACTCAGATGAAAAAAAAGAACTAATAGTTGATTGTATTTGAGAGTATCCCATTTTGGGAAACACAAACAGCTATAATAATGAAACACAAATGAAGTCCATAATGTGTGCCATGCACCATTGTTCCAAGCACTTTCTACATATTCACGCATCTAATTTCTTTAACCTAATTTTTACACCACAATGGGGTAGGTATCTCCATTTTCATCTCCATTTTCAGACAAGGTCACCAAGTTATTAAGGAGAAGTTGTCAACTTGATCTAGACCTTCATGCTCTTAATTGCCATACTATATTATCTTCTATAACAATATTATATTAATTTATGATGCCATGAGTGAGTGATGATCCTTAAAACCATAAACACATCACTGAAGAAAACATTACAATGCCTGGTGTAAAGAAAAACAAAAGAGAGAGAGAGAGAGAGAGAGGGGTGTGTGTGTGTGTGTGTGTGTGTGTGTGTGTGTGTGTGTGTGTGTCTGTGTGTGTCTAGGAGAGGGAGAGAGAGAATATACATAAAATTTGCTAGGTTAACCATTTATAAAATTCATTGGCATTAAGTACATTCACATAGTTGTGCAACTCTCCATCTCCAGAACTTTTTAGCCTCTCAAACTGAAATTCTGTACTCATTAAACAATAACTTCCTATTCTTCCTTCCCCCTAGTACCT